GTTGTTGAGTGACTTATAAAATATTAGAAGCATATATAATAACCAGTTCAGTGAAGAAAAAAATATATTAAATTTGCAGATTGGAATATAGGATTTTAGGCACATCATTAGTGACATATTCGAAAACTATGTTAATTATACTTAAAGTTTGAATCCTGAATACCAGAAATAAACTGCTACAATTTATACAAACTATTCCTACAAATGCTGTCTGTATGATCTAATAAATCTGTAACCATTTTTCCATAATTTCCATCAAATTCAGTGAAACCTGCTGCTGAATATTTATCTTGCTTATTTAAAACATTTTTATCATTCATACTAATTTTTATAGATTTCCTGGAATTGCTTAATCCACACACTCCTTTTAAAAGAAAAAAACGATTTCTGCCTTTTTCAGCTCCTCTGACTGAAAAAACAGTTGCTGTTTACAGTACAGCAATTGAAAATATGAAGGCTAAAACCTGAATTTTCCAGTTTTAATATTTCTCTTTTCTTAATCATTGTTATAAATATGTAGTATATGCCATTAAATGTCATCCTTTTCTCTTTGACGCACACACTCAGTTGTGTTGTAAATCATATTTGTATTCTGCTGTTGAGTTTGGCTTGGTGTGAGGTGTAGATATCTCTGCTGCAGGGGTCCCGCAGTGGGGGAAGTGGAGGAAGTCCCAGGTAAGGAGCACGGGGGTGCCACAGGGAGGTGGGGGCCCTGGCAGGCTGTGTGCAAGTTGGCGGGGGTGTGTGTGCTGCAGTGCACTCAGGGAAAGAGGGCACGGGGTGCATGCGAATGGGTGTGTGCATGTGTGCAAGTGCAGGGAGGCCCAGAAAGAGGGTGCTGGTGGGTGCATGCGTGCATGTGTGTGGGGGAGTGAGGAAGGCTGGGGAAAGAGGTGCAGAGTGTGTGTGAGTGCAGAGAGGCCCAGAAAGGAGGGTGCTGGTGGGTGTGTGCGAGCACAGGGAGGCCTGGGAAGGAGGCTGGTGGTGGGTTCATGTGTGCGTCTGTGTGTGGGAGTGTAGGAAGGCCAGGGAAAGAGGGTGCAGGGTGCATGTGAGTACAAAGAGGCCCAGAAAGGGGGGTGCTGGTGGGTGTGTGCGTGTGTGCGAGCTCAGAGAGGCTTGAGAAGGCAGGCATTGCCCTATGATGCACCATTTCACCCAATTGAAGGTTACAGACACAAAAGTTTTAGTAGTATATAGATGCTAATATACAGAGAAGGTCATGTTTTCCTATTCAGGAAACAATATTTATAGTTTTGTATCATGCTATGAGAATTGTATTTTGCCATATGAGCTATTTTTGATAGGTATCCAAAATTTATTTCTGTGTGCCCAAAGTTCAGGCAGAAAACATTGCTCTCCCTCCCCTGTTTTTTCCCCACACAATACCCTGTGACGTAAGTTGATATAAGTTGGGGTAACTGGTCTAAAGTCACTCAGTGTGTTCCACGGCTGAGGGTGGACTTGAACCTATCTCCTTAGTCCCACTCCAGCACTTCTCCATACACTACACTGACTATTAAGTTCAATTGTATGAAATGTACGTCAGTTTTACAGTTTAACTCTTTTATTTTCAAAGCAAAATCCCTATCCTACCTGAATGAATTATGAATTCAATATGATTTTTTGATTAAAATAAATGAAGCATTCCCCAAAATACAGGTTGCTAATGAATCCATAAGAATGCTTCATTAATTTCAGTGCACTCAAATTTTGAATATGCTAGTGATGTTAACTAATGTGAACTGACTATTTTCAGTCTTAATTTTTAGGATTGCTGGTTCAGTCTGTCTGGCAGCAACATGGCAATGTCCAATGTAATTGTTTATCACTGAAAGTGGAACTAAGAGCTGTGTTAGAGACAGGATGGATGGGGGCTTTTGGTGGAAACACATGGTAATCAAGAAAATAATAATGAGGGTGGGCAACATAAGGAGTCACATCTTAACATTGTGATACAAAGTCTGTCCCTTATGCACAATGAAACATTACGAGACATGTACAAAAGGAAGGAGCTTCTGTTGTGATGTTAGGTGATTTTGATGTCATGGTTTGGAATGAATGCCTATGTTGAAATGTGTATTGAGATGGTAACTGTTGCTAAGAAAGGGAGTTTCCTTGCTGTATTGGGTTTCAATCATGACAGATTGATATGCAACTACTTTTTCCCTTTTTCTGTCCACAGCAGCTTCTGGAATGATGAGGACATCAATATTTCTTGTTTAAATGCTAACAAGTTTGAATTTGTTATGTTATCCCCATAGTAAAGATAACTTTGCAAGAGCCACTACTTCCACCATTGTGCATTTAAAAAACCTCTACTATAAGTTACATTTATTTGCTTAATTTAAACTCTATTCAGTGCTTTGAATTTGCTTCCATAAATGTGCAATGCAGCACCAACATGGCACTATGGCAACTCTTAAAAGTAGCTGCATCGTTTCCTGAGATTGTCCAGCTGCTGCCTACAACTGCCATGCAATTAACGAAGTATCACCAAAAGGCAAAACTGGGGACAGAATAAAAACAGTGGTAAAAGAATAGGAGCTATAACAGATAAAGGCAAATACTTTGGGCAAAATACATTTTGGAGACATCATTTGTGTATTTATTATTTTCTTGATTTTTTTTGTCATAAGCAAAAGTGATTTTTTTTAACATGATGACTTGATTTGGTAGGTAGACAAAGCAAACTGCTATTGCTTGAAATTCTATGTAGTATTCAGGGCATACTTTATTGGACTTTCAGAAATTATGGTAGTATATATTTTATTTAGAAATACAATGATTGGTTCTATTAAATCATACTCACTCAGCTTATATAATAGTGCCTATATTTCATTATTCATTTCAGATTTCAGAGACCTATGCCTTTCTACCAAGAGAAGCGGTGACACGATTTCTGATGAGCTGCTCAGAGTGCCAGAAAAGAATGCATTTAAACCCAGATGGAGCTGATCATAAGGGTAGGTTTAGTGTCAAATAATAAGATGTAAAGCATTTTATTCATAATGTCCATTTATATTTTCCTGATTTAAGTGAAGACTCATAAAAAATTGTATACTAGAATAATTAGACAATTCATATCATCTCATTTATGCATTAGCAATATACTGTAGTACGTCTCTGGAATTCTCTGAAAGGATTATATGTAATACCATGTACATTCTCATATATCCACCATAAGGACAGGATAGTTTTCATTAATTTTCTTTGGATGTAAAAGCTTACAATGTTTTTCTAGAATGATGTACAATAAGTACCCTTTATCAGTGTAATATGATGAAGCAATTTAAGATGAATTCACTGCATGAATTACGATTTTTCAGCCAAACCTGCCCCTCAGAGTTGTGATAGTGGGAAAAATGGGTCTGGTGAGTGCAGTGTATGCAGTCCTGAGATCCTGGAGGATGGTATAGTCCAAATCTGATAAATAAAATGTCCATGATAATATTTACAATTGGTTAAAGTACAGATAAACCCTATGCTAGACACAACCCAAGCATAAATAACAACTTTCTCTCCTGTGACTCCATACATGTACAGATGTGTTCAATTACATTTGAATTGTAGAGGGAAGGTTCTTTCTCACAGAAAACATAAGAATTTTGAGGGAAGCCAAAGCAGATTTGACACATGAGCCAATTTTCTCAGATCAGCTGTCTACTCCTGCTTGTTTGATTGATTATGTGACATCAAGTCCATGTTGACTCTTAGCATTTTCTCCATGATGATCTGTCCCTAACCTGTTCCTTCAAGTCTTCCAATGATTCCTACCCCTGAACGATGCCTAAAGATTCTTTGCTTCCATCCTGTGTTATTCATTGGCTTATTCTCTAGCATACTTAATACAGCAATTAGCTTTTGGGGTAAAACAACTTTATGTAAAGTGCAGAAAAGGGATAAGAAATAGTAAAGTCATAAGAAAAAACATAGTTAAATATACTAATACAATTCACTATAACTTTCCATACCTAATTGTCTTTGCAAACTATCCTGGCTTCCACCATGTCCACACACCAGTTCATTCACTATGTTTTGTTCTTAAAGTTCTCTCATTTCTTTATTTTTGAGGATCTCAACTCCACTGAAGCTTGATTCCTGGCCTGTCCCTTGTTCTCTACTTGTTGACTTTTCTTTGCATATTTATTTTGCAATTTGATTCTCATTCTTCTTTTCTATAAGAGTAAACCACCTCAATATACTTCTTTTGTACATGTCACTCACTTTGGTACTGAATCCACACTAATTGATAAGCCATTTTTTTTCACTGTAGTGAAATTACTTTATTTTCTCCTCACATAACTAACTCTCATTCCATATAACAAAGTAGTCAGAAGCATGCTGTTATAGACATTCCTTTTTGCTACTTTTGGACAAACATTCCTACCTTGCAATAGGCCACATACTACACATTATTGTTCTATTGGCATTTGCATATCTTAATGTTTCTCTGTTTATTTCCCCATATTTAGTAAATATTCTGCTAAAATATATTAATACACTTATAGTAATTTGCAACTGTTCACTCCATTTTCCCTGTCAAAAACAATTGTATTGGCATTTGAAACATTAATTTTCAGATCCATATTCACATCATATTATGATTGTGAGATAGCTGGGAATGAGACATTTGGTGTTTATCTCAGGCAATTCAGTCAAGAAATGACACTCTCCCTTAATTAACTCAATATTACTGAGTTTGTGAACCACCTCTTGCCATTTTCATATCTTAGACTAGCATTAAAGATTCCTTTCTGAAATCCATATTGTTGTTGCTTCCTTATGTTGCCAACTATGAGGGGCTTGACAACAATCTTGAAAACTTGGGTTGCCACTCCCTCCTTCACAGTTCCCTTTTGGGGAGAAGACCAAAGCAAAATAAGACATGAGGAGCTCTGCTGTCTCTCCATCACCTGTAACTGTCCTATTATCTTCTCGTACTAATGGTCCACCCCTTCTTTTTTTTTTTTTCTTTTACTAGTCACAGTACCACAAATAAATAAATACAGCCAGCCAGCCAGCCTTTTGTTTGCTTTTAGCTTCCCTTCTGAGTCTAAGTTACTTTTGCACTTTAGCCTTTCTAACTTTATTTCAGCAGCTATTAGCTACTTACTGATTCAGCTGTTTGGTGATTATATCCACCTTCCATTTCCTTGATATATCCTTTCTAACACTTAACTCACCTAAGAGCCCTCTGTGCAATTTCCTAAACTGTCCATTTTTTCTCATTGGAATGGTGTGTAACTATACTTCCAGTAACTTGTTTTTGAGAAGTTTCCAACTTTCTTGCACAACTTTAGACCTCAGCATTTTTTTCCATGGGGTCCTGCATATTACTTTTCTATGGCTGTTGAAATTGCCTTTTATGAAATATACTGTGCACATACTATTATGCTCCAATTTCTCTTTCTGTAGTATCTTGAATCTAAAGATGATATGGTCACTTCTTCCCAAAATTCTCATTCAGAACTAGGAGGACTGATTCTCTTGTTCTCTTCTTCAGTCTTCTGGAACGTGAAACAGTCAGCAAGACTACTGAGGAATTTGCAGTTATGGCCAACCTGGTTTTCCAACAGACATCTGGGTTGTTGACGTTTCCTTTTATTACTATGTCTGTCATCCCTGAAAATTCTTTAAACTGGTCCAGGAGGGCATTATCCAGATATTCTCCTAGCTTGGTGGTGTACAGCAGTCTCCTCCCACCTCCTCAATAATACCTTTTTGTTTCTTGCCTTGTATTTTTATCCAAATTCTCTTGGACTTTGGCACTGAAATTCCTGGATCTCAATACCTGAATGCACTTCCTTCATGTATAATGTCACTCCTCCACTTTTGTTTGGTCTTTTCCTTCTGAATAAGTTACATCTTTCAAAGTAGTATTATCACCAGATGGCCATAGATATGGACCTTGATCACCCTCATGGCTTTGGTCAATGAAGGCCTTTGCATAATATCTTTTAGTATAATAAGGAAGATGTAGAATGTTACTGGCCTTAACATACCATGCCACATGCAACATTCTGGGCTAATGATACAGCCAGCACTAGTCAGTTTGGGCACATCATGTTAGTATGCCACAAGCACAATGAAAGCCCAGTTTAGAAGACAACTAGGTACATGCAGTGTGCTGACACACATTTAAGATGCATTGTAAGTTAACCATATATCCTGGATGTAGCTTTCTTGCTGAAATTAAAATCAGGATTGGTGAGACAGGAGGCTGCCTGAAATCCTATGTAGGCTACCTTGAATTTTATCATGAAGAACATATGTGATTAGTCATGGGGCTTGCATTTCAAAACTTACTGTACAAAATACCTCAGTATATTTCTGTTGTTATGTAGAAAGTTTATAGTTATGAAGAAATTTTTGTAATCTTCATGGAGGTTATCAAGCAGCAGTTGCTGATAAATCTTTCCTAAAGTAGAAAGTATTCTATATACTCAGTTTGCAATTAATTTGCTTGTATAACCCTATAATTATCACACTATATGTAATATGTTCTAATTCTGCAGATAATGGAAAACCTCCAACACTGGTGACCAGCATGATTGATTATAATATGCCAATCACAATGGCCTACATGAAGCATATGAAGCTGCAGCTATTAAATTCCCAGCAAGATGAGGTAAATATTTAGTTTTTTTCACTTTAATAATAACTATATTCATTCATGTAATTTGCTACGTGAGGTTCGGACTTGTGTTAAGAGGTTTTCTTTTTAATGGAATTTCATTTTTTCAACTGTTGTAGAAAATATGGTAAACATGAGAACTTTAAAAAAACCCTGTTATCTAGAGTTCACAATTTTATTGCTGTGTAATATTTTTAGATAATCTTGCAAACTGAACAGCGTGCATCACTACATAGTGTCTAAATAATGGGAAAGATGTGGGAAGGTAACATAATAGGACATTTTTCTATGTAATGTTATTGAAAGGAAACAAAGTTTAAAAGCAACAAACAGTCTCTAAACATTTGACTATTTTGGCTATCTGAAAATATTCAGTAACAGGGTTACGGATAGTAGCAATAGCAAATTTGGTGGTCCCTTACTTATAAATTGAGGAGAGACACATGCACAAGCACAGTGGATGAGATGGCACTCAGTGAACTCTCTAGGTATACATAAAAGAGGAAATTAGAGAAAAAGAAAGATATAAATGTCCAAAACAACTTATAGAAAACTAAGAGCAGTCATTGCCTCCCTAGGCAGTATAGATTAAGAATAGGGAAATTCATAATAAGGCTTACATCTCCTGAAACTAATTTTCAGTTTTACCCAACCTGAGATATTTTACTCTTTTAAGAACATTGACCCTTTGAAGTGAAAACAGTCTGAAGAAGGAATGGGAAAGCTTTTCCTTTGATCTAATTAATAATCTTTGAGATCTGCTTCTACTGTGAAAGTATAAAATAAAGTCAAAGGAGTATGCTGCCATGTTCTCCCCCATCCCCCAAAGCAATAAAATGAGGAATAGAATAAGAACAAAAAGGTAGTATTTAATCTGTTCCATCCATATACTCCTCTTAAAAAGTTGCTGTTAATTTTAAGAGGCTGAGGTACTATTTTTCCCAGAGGATCTAAGAATTTAGATTTAGATGAGAAAAAAATTGGGGAGAGGGTATCTTTTGCCCAGCATAGCTGATGCAGTTATATTTGGAATATCTTGAAGTTTTATTAAAGCTAGACATGAATAATCACTCTCTTTCTATTTGGCATTACTTTTGCAGGTACTCAGTCAAATTTCTACACTAGTCTTCAAAAGAAACAAAATATTTATTTTCACATGAAACTTTACCTATTATACACATATGTTTCTGTGACTTACACATTTATATACATACATTTTATGAACATAACTTTTTGTAACACTTGCATGTTTACAATCAGCTTTCCTTAATGTAGACATCAGGTGGCAGCACCAAGCCAATCTTGGCTAATCCTGAAAAAAGTTAAGCAGGGTGATTCCATGTTAGTACTTGGATGGGACACTAAAGGTTGTAGGATTACAAGTATTAAAATCACTGTACATTATGTCATATCTTCTGTTCAGTTTATAATTAAAATGTTTTCAGGAAGCAATCATGGGAAAAAGATATTATCTGGCTGAGAGGCTTCAATTGTTAACCTATTCCCATTTTTCTGGGAGTAAGGACCATCGAATACAGTGGAAGCAGGGGCCATCTATTTGAGTAGACAGAATTCTACTGATTCTGTCTAATCAGAGAAGCAGTATATTTACAGTCTACAGCCACAGGTCCAATAAATTGCCCTGCTGGGTCTACTCCTTATATTAGTTGGACCGTAGTTGTGGTCCTTTATTGCTGCCTGCAACTGTCCCTATAAGCCACTGAGGGTTACCTACAAATATACATTCTGTAGTAAATTAAAAAAAAAAAAAAGGTGGCTTTGAATACCAACTGCCTGTCTTAGAGCTGGGCATATGTGAGAACTGGCAATCAGTGCCAAGATTCTGGGGCCATGACCCATCTGAGGGTGCCAGGTTCTAATACTGGATCTTGCAGAAGTACATCCAAGGGTAACACATTATGCTACCTTTATTCTTTTTACCTATTATGAATGTATATGATCCTGGAAGATAGGATGATCAGTCTGAATCTGTAACAAGGCCCCAGCCAGGAACAGGGTGGTAGCTATGTGACCTAGTCCTAGTCCTAAAAATAACACTGTAAACATGGGAGCCACAAAACATTTCCATTATTTTCCACTGTCTATTTTTTTTTAAAAAAAGGCTTGCTGCCAAGTAGAAGCCTAATCAGCCAAATTAGCTTTCCTGGATATGTCATTCTTTCTGCTTTTTCAATTAATTTTTATTAATTTATTAGATCTACATCCCACCTTTCCTTCAGGAGCTCAAGGCAGCATACACAGTGTTCCCTTCTCCTATTTTCCCTACAACAACCACCCTGTGAGGTAGGTTGAACTGAAAGAGAGTGACTGCCCCAAAATCACCTAGTTGGCTTTTGTGGCTGAGAGTGGACTAGAACCTGGCTCTCCTTTGCTCCTAGTCCAACACTCCTTCTTTAGAATTGTTTGAACTACATGAGGCGAGGCAGGGGGAATCATGACACATTCCCAGCCCATGCATGATTATGCGTTATAATGGTATGTGGAATGACCTTGGGAGACGGGGAAGAGCCACAGCCAGGGAAATGGTCAGATAAGAGGCAACTTAGCCTGCAGAAGGAATGTGGAAATGGCAGACGTCTCAGAAGGGACCCACCTAGTTTCTTGGGCTGTAAAGACAGCAGGAGAGAAATGTACTTCAGACTTGCAAGATTCTGTTACTGTGATGGAATGGAATTATGAAGGCCAAGCTCAGGGAGATAAACATTTTCTTAGC